AATTGAGAATGGAATAAGTTGTATGATTTCATATTGCATGGGTATTTTTGTTTGTTGTTTTTTCTTTTTTTATTGTTTGTCATAGGTTATTCTGAGCTAACATTTGTCTTTTCCACCCAACACTCTACAATGCATCTTCGAGTGCATGAACAATAAACAGCAACAATAAACGATAGACATTTGCTCTGCATGCGTGGAGATATGCCCAAAATTAGAAAAAATCAAACAAAATAATAGAAAATCGTAATAAATTCTGAAAATTTGAAGGGAAGGCAGTTTTTGCCAGAACTCCTTAAGCGAACCCAAAACTTCTTTGTATCTCAATTCAGATTATTCTGAGCTCTTGAAAGTATGAAAATAGATATAATGGCCTAATGGTCGAAAGGTAAAGTAACCATAGCCAAAGTAATCGATAACGGTAGATGGTGCAGCTGAAATGTAGTAAGGCAGTCAGTAAGTGAGTTGTTATCAATGGGGAACTGTTGCGTCCAACGAGATAATGTAGACAGCGACCCGTGTCAGCGTACTTTAATACCTGCGCCTGTGCAGACACTTTGTAGCAGATCAACCTTGAACACTAAAAATAGTACAAAGTAATTTGAAGGGCATAATGCATCCCATACCCCTCCGGGCACCTTTGAAACGAACTTCAGGTGGGTTTCCAAAGTGTACAAGGTCAGATGCATGAGTGATAGTGCACTGGATAGAGGGGCTTTAGCAGACGGTTCAAGTTTCATTCTAGTCTGAACGCTTATTCGTAACTGAAGATGTTTGTGATATAATGTGATCTTCATCCATCTGTTACAGAGACGGCAGAGTCAGGCGTTAGGCGCAACTTCAGAGGAGAATCCGGACATTGCCAGTGATAAGGCATTCCTTATAAATACCCCCGACTTCCTTAACTATCACCCTGGGTGACTGGGTGTGAACTTTGCCTTCCATAGCCCTATAGACGCTAGCTACGATCAAATTATAGTAGAGGTTGCTTCAGACTGATCTAAGTGAGCCGAACCTACTCATGATAGATGGCATTTTAGTGCATTGAACCGAAAGTCTTCTAGAGAAAGTGAATTGCTGGTAAAAGAACTTACCCAAAAAACGAAGCAATTCAGGAAGTGGTTGTTCTCATTCAATTCGGGAATCACCTGAAGGACCTGCAGGCGGCAGCGGCATTCCAGAGCAGCGATTAAACCGTAGCTCACTGTTAATGGGGTTTATACTCGATTGTTGGTGTTCTGTGTGAACAAACTTTTTAATAAATAACTTTTATCCTTCTTTAACATACCTGGATATATTAAATGTTTAAAACACACAGTAAAAACAAAAACACAAACAAAAAAAGAGTTAAAGGTACATAACTTCATACTGTGGCCATAATAGCCATCAGGATTTCAGATAAGGAGACGGCAAGAACCCGCAAACAGGATAGTTACGGTAACAAATGGTAACAGATCTTTGTAAATGCCATAAGAAATACGATAACGTTGTATAAAAGGAAATTTGATAAATAAGAGAAGTCTTCTGAGAATTATGACAACGACTGAAAAATCAGGTGGTTTGATTGGAAGTGATCCTTAGAGATCATTATTGAAATCAATACATCAAAAAGTAACAGTAAAAAGGGAATTCAGCTCGACCGACATGACCCTGAGTTGGCGAAAAACCCGACATTGATATTTTCACAACCATAGATACAGTAGACATCATATATTCAACTTTTGAGTAGATTGGGGCTCTCCGCCGTTTACATATCCTTCCCTCATCCACCTGCTTTGCTCTCGTGAAACCTGCATTTTCACAATAACCAAAATTTTCAAAAAACCAAAACAAAATGTAAACTACTAAAAAAATTATACAGCACTGTAACTACTACTACGGTACAAGTTATGTATCCCTCTACAGGGCTCCCACCCCAGACAGACACATAGGATTCTAACCAATTCTTTAGGGTTATCCGAACCTCAAGCATTCTTCAAAACTAGTCTTGCAAATGGTCTGATTGGTCAAACTTCGGGCCAGACTATGTAATACAGCTCAAAGGAATTAGTTACAGCTCGGACTGCTTCCGATGTTTTCAGGTATTTATAAGTCCATATTCCAGCGAAGGCCATTCTTCTGGGAGGATCGGTCATCAGAGAATCCACTGACTTCATGAATAGTTAACTATAGTCACAACACCTTTGATACCAGGAAAGGTTTATGCGAAGCGGAATGTGCCCTAGCGCTAACTTCCCACATAGCAATTTCTACTCCTAGATTGAAACTCCACGGGCCACCTTGCCATTAGCAGATAAGCTGAATAACTTACCACAGCCAGTTTCATCTGCAGCTCCAAAAACATCGGCATAACTGACGGATCGTTGCTGAGAATATAGCTCCGTACAGTTTCAAGAGCAGATGAAAGCTGGAACAGTTCGACTATAAGTTCGAGGTGATACTACTTCAGAGGGGACTTAAAAGTTATCTCGTCCAAATCGCAAGATATCGACGAACCTCTTTGTCATATACTCGTATCGCTGCGCTTTTTACTATGGCAGCAATATAACTTTTCTCATCTGAGGCCTAAACAACAAAATTCATAGGCAGGTAGAAGCTAAGTGATGAGTACGTGTAGAACGTACTGGTGGTGCAGGAGAGGCTTGCTGAGGCATTCTGGCAGGTGATATTCGCGAAGTCGGCATCGTATCCATATACGTACTGTTTTGGCAAGCTGTAAGGACCACTTTGAAGTTCCCCAATACTAGCAAATCACTTTAATCTCTTTATTTGACAAAAATTCTTTCCGAGAGTAAGGTCCAACGAGAGGCTGCTCTTCATCTATCTATCGTGAAATAGCTTCAAGCCGTCTGAATCTTTTTTGATCGCGTCTCAACAGATTTTCTAACTACTAGAGGAATTAAGTAGAATACGAGCTTGACTATGGGAAGCTGANGAAATTCTGGAAAAAAGGTACTGCTGAACTCTGAGTTGTTTAGTGCTTCTTTTTCTGAAGCACTTCGCGATGTGGTTGGGAACGCGGTTTTTTCTTTTAGGACAGGAAATTCAGCCAGTAGTCCAATTTAGTTGCCTCGTAATGGGAAACGGAGTTCTCTGACCTATGCACAGGAAGAACTTCACGAAACGGAGACACGGAAGCGAAATTCACGCCCAGTTAAGTTATCCAAGAAGATCTGGCAACTTATACCGCAGAGAATTGTAAAAACCGAAGAGAAAATCAGCTCCTCATCAAGGTAATGCTATGTATTTATAAGGTTAGTGAGTCCCCCTGACTGTATCTTAAGCTTGACAAAAAAGCTTTCAGTGTGATAGCAGAGGTTTTACTGAAAATTCATATATGTACCTGTGTTAGCACTATCAGTGCTTCCAAAAAGATTATTCAAATCAAGAGGCTTTGTGTTTGCAATACTGACAACGGCAACAGGCGGTGCAGTTGCCTTTGGCGGAGCGACCGCTTTCTCAACACAATCCAATAAAGCTGCTGTTGTTCCTGCAACACTCATCTGAGCCCCTTCGCAGCCTATTCGCGAAAATATAAGTTTTTCTTGGCTGTCGAATGCCACCAAACTCGATTTGTAGCTAATTAGCACTGAATTGAGTGTACCAAATACATTGCATGAGGTTCGGCCTTTGAGTTTGACACATGGAACATTGCAGCCAGGCGTGTCCTTCAACACTTCCACTATCGATCGGATTTGCCTAGCTCAGGTCAGCCTGTGATCCATTCACTGACCTTAGCTGACAGACCCACTTTCTAGAACTTTTGCAATCGGCGAGCTAGCAGCGAATGCAGAGTAGCCTCTCTACAGCCTCCTAATTAGGATTAGTCACACCTGGGTGGGGTGAGGTTGAATCCAGAAGAATCCAGGGAAATTTTCCGAGTAAACATTATCATTCACTCTTAGTTCCAAGCTTAATCATACTTTGACACCTGTTCGACCGATTTATTTGTAACTCCAGAGACTTCTAACGCCTAACCCACCTTCACTGTGAACCTGTGGAAAGTTGAATTGCTTTGATGCGTTGTGGCTGTCGTCATGATCATCCTCCATTCTATCCTCATCGGTTTCTTCGTAATTCACCGGTACACCAGACATAAGCTTCAGATCAATTTGGTGACGTCGCTTGAACGCATCCAGCCATCCTTCAGAACCTTTGAAGTTTTCCAGCCCTGAAATGATAGTGAAGACGATTTCCAAGACTCAAACAACTTCAGACATAGTACACATGTATGGCTTATCCTACAGTCCGACTGAACATTGCTTGCTTGTTTCTACGAGTAATCTTGAGCTTTAGCGACAAACCTAGTTGGCGTGAGATCATCATGGCGTGCTCCTTCAGCAACTTTCCATTCAATACGATCCCGGCGTCACGACAGTCTTTGAAGAATCGCCACATCAGAATGTTCAGACCCACAAAAGATGTTCTGCGTACCTGAAAACTTACAAGCCACTCCAAGTATAGCTACATACTTCATTTGCTCGTTTGTTTATTTGGGGTGGAGGTAGCGTAGTGCCATGTGGCGCAGTTTCACTCAAGCATGGTCCGGTTTCAAATCCCGGATTGACATCCACTCAAGCTAACCAAGCCTACAATCCTTCCAGGGTCGTCTCATTAGTACCAAACTCGTCTGGGGGCATAAAAGCACTGACTTGTAAATCGGCTGGCTACCGCAATTCATTGTATAAGCCACATACATTCAAAACGATTCTAAAATTCTCGAAAGGCGCATCCCCACAAACAGGACTGTTTGATGTCGAAGACTTTATCCTTTTTATTTATAATTTTGACTTGCTTATTCATTTATTTATATTATATTATGCGATCCAAATGCTCACCCGACTTTTCCTTCTAGCACTACCGATGATTCGTTCACGCTCGTCGCTCACATCATTCTCCGCCATTAGGGCTGCCGTTTGATCCCGAATAACCTCAGCACGATTCAGTATGATGTACTCTATCTAAAGAACTTTATTGCTCAGAAAATTTTCGATTTCTATGGTGGTTGAAAGTTTTGAAAAACCTCCTTGTTAGCCTTTCTTGAACCTGGGCATTTGTTTCATGAATAAACAATGTTTCTGTCCCAGGCAGGTTTTTTAACTGTGTAACATTTATTACGCCTGGCGTTTCGACCAACTCGTCGTTATCAAAGGCCTGAAAGCGTTTCAGAACTTTAGAGTGTTGCTTGTAAAGCTTGACAAAGACCGACTCTAAATTAGTTGCAGCTTAGACCGATACTTCCAACTAAATAGAAATTTCAACAAGAAATTTCACTCACGTCAGCTCCACCTACACCGAACGAGAATGAATATCAGTAATAAGGAGAAAGAGTGCGTCGATATAAGTGGTGACCTCTTGCCATAGATTCCTCTGCATGAGCTCTGATAAAGGGGACTGATACGGTCCCTTCACGATACTATTAATGGGTTGTGGTTGACCGAGCGGTCTCATTTGCTCTGTCGTCTCTAAAGAAGCTGAGCAACTGTTCGGTGTTGGTGGAGCTGATGTGAGCGACTGTTGAAATTTCTATTTAGTTGGAAGTTCATCAGCCTGAGTTGCAACTACTTAGGAACTAGTCTTTGTCAAGCGTGATAGGCAACACTCTGAACTCCCGCGACGCTTTCAGACCTTTGATAACGACGAATTGGTCGAAAGGCCAGGCGTAATACATGACCCGCCGCTAAAAAAAAACTTTTGTCACAGAAGCTTGTTTAATCGCAGGAATTCTTGAAACCAACATTTCTATTCAAGTCGTTAACTCATAACCGACGGAATAACCTAATAAANTCCCGCGACGCTTTCAGACCTTTGATAACGACGAATTGGTCGAAGTGCCAGGCGTAATAAATGACCCACCAATAAAAAACTTTTTTGGCACAGAAGCCTTGTTTAATTGCAGAAATACTTGAAATTAACATTTGTATTCTAGTCGTTAAGTCACAACAGACAGAATAACCTGATTGAATACAAATCTTCAAGTAAAAGACCCAGCAATGGGACTCACATCCTCCGTTGAAACACGAAACTTGGCTGCCAGCTCATCGAATGTGGCTCCAGTGTCGTAATGAGTGACGATGAGCCCTTTTTGCCGAGCTGTCAGAGGGATATTAGGCCTGAAAAGAAGAGCGGGACGTCAGTTTTGCAGAATGGCTCTGCTCTGGTAGGACATTCAAGCCACAACAAACCTTGCAGGCAACTGAGGCAGTTGTGGTTGTGGAGGTACTTCTTCAAGACAGGGCTTCTTGTCTTCAAAAATGGATAGCGGTTCTGAGACGACTGGAGATGGAGCACTTTGCTGGAGACAGTGATTTTATGAAATTTTTGATATTCAAGAAAGAAAACATTCTGGAAGAGCTGACATCCCTTTGGGGAGTAAGTAAAAGTGGAGTTAAAATGAGAGCCAGGCCGACTCTACTCGAAGAAGGGCTCAAAAGAGAATGAGAAAGAGCGAGAGAGAGTGGGCTCTGATGGATGCCACGTAACATTTGCAGGACCACCCACGTTCTTCAGAAACGTGGTTTCCCTATGAAGAGAGGAAAAAGTAACCAGTTTGTCGAGCAGTAAACTATCGAAATGGNGGGGGGGGGGGGGGGGGCATAAAAATATGTACAGAAGTTTCAACCAACCTTGCATGGATCGAATATCTCATTAGGACCGTAGGAACTACTCAAGGCCCTGAAAAGATCCCATAATTAACTTTATTGGAACTTCTGGTAAAAAGTAACTTCTCCTTTGGTAACATCAATTGGATAAACAGCAAACCCACAATCCAAAATAATGCGGTTTATGGCAGACGATAGGTGGCAGTTCAGCGGAGATCAGAATTGGCTCACAATCTGAATCATATCAGTGATGGCTGGAGATGTACTGGTATATGTTTACTACAGTAACCTACCCAATTTAACTTTTGCATTAGGATTCAAAGGATTTGGACCACAATAACATAAGAGGTGCTCGGCAATTAAATGAAGAACCAGTAGAACACTTGTGGTGAAGAATTCTGGGGAAAAAAGTTGTAAGAATGATTAAAAATAGAAGGAAATTTCAAAAATTGAAGTAGAAAGGGCAAAGGCCAATCAACTGTTTCAACGCACTGCTTATTTCTGAGCAATTATTCGGATCAGATATGGCTACACCGTTTGCGCGGAGTAATTCGTTGAGAGTGAATATTTTGATTTCGCCGTCCATTTCGAACCGAATTGGAATTTCCAGAGAGACCGCCAGAGCCTCTTTATGAATCAACGTCCTAAAATTGGGATAGAAATTACTTGAATATCCTCAAGGTTCCGAGAGCGGATAGGGAAAGCCTGTGGATTACCGTATCCAAGATAAAAGCTAATATCTGAAACAATCAGAGGATCGCGAATTCCGCGGCTCCTTACAAGTCTACAGTTAGCGTGGACTATAAACATCCCTATGGGTAGGGAAAGACTAGCAGAACTCACGTCATTTGTACGTATTTCACCCCACGCACATAGTATCCTCCACGATATCCTTTAGAGACAACTAGGGGAAGTTTCCAAAATGGTGGCAATGTATAGACACTTGGTTTTCTATTGACCTCAAGATCGCTGGCTCTGAAATAGAGTTTCTTTGAAGTAGTACCTCCAAAGTATTAAATTTATAAATTTGAAAATGATGTCAGGTTGAGAATACGTCGCTTTCCTGCCACGCCCTTCAGAGCAACTCAAAAAACACGAAGCCTAAGAATGTAGACTACCTCAGTTGTGACGGAACTTCAGGGACCACTGACGACTCGCTAGGCTCGCTCTGAAATGGAAACCATACCTCAACAATAATAGTTTGGTTAATGATTAGACCTCCATTTCTATTGAAGCCCGTTCGGCATGTTAACGAGCTGAGAGAACGAATTCATCCTTCCAGTTTAAAAGTATGAGGAAGTAATTCAAAACTAATAATTGAAACCAATATTGAAAACTATTTTCCATGTGAAGCGAATAGGAGTTGAAATTTCCATGAAGACTCTAGAAAAAACCCGACCTTGTCTAACCCTTAGCTATTGTATTTTTTCGCGGATACTGAAAATCAAGTACCTTTACGGACGTATGGACATCCAACTCAAGTCCACCATTGTCTACCGTCTGTGGTATAGTCGGCTTATCTGATGACTGCAACGGTAAGGCCGGCAGAATACCACTTCCTTCTGTGTAGGCGGAGAATACGCTCAATGCATCACGAACGCTAACTTGAGGTGCCAATAATGAGGGTTTGGCATCTTTGCGATTCTCGTCGGCGTCTTTCGCAAACAGCGAATACAGCACTGCTGAAACTGTAGGAACGAGTAGATATGTGTTATATTTACTCTTTATGAGTATACGGTAGCTCTAGCCTCAGGTAAGCGGAGGCAATTATAACAAGTCAATCTAATTGCCACAGAAATATCAGCAGCTACCAGTGAAAATCAAGATGGTACTTCATAGAGCTTATATAAAACTCACAAGGGTCTATAGCTGGATCCAATTCAACAGCAAACCTCTTCTTAGGTAATCGGACTCTGTAGTTACGGAATCCTTTCGCCAAAGCTTCCTAAACCATATATATTGATTGATTTTATCAAATTTTCGCTTCAGGTGGCATTCCAGTAGCACCGTCATGCTAGCTGTCGGCTATAGAAATACAGACGAGAACAGTTGGAAAGTACCTTGACAGACATCTCCTTATCTGATTGCTCTATTATCTGCTTCATCGGATCGTGAGGAATACCTTCCGTGGAAGCAGCGCTCTGAAAACTACGATTGTACAGAGAGAAAACATCAAAAAGCTGGAAACTCGGAGCGCTAGAAGGTTCTCGTTCTGGTTGCACTTTCTCTTTTTCCTTGCGTCCACCACCCCTTCTAGCCTTCGTTTCAGGCGGGAACCGACTCCACGGAGTTAAACACCGAGAAGGCACTCGGGCTTTTGTCAGCAGTGAGCTCCCATGGGAGGACTAGGACGTTCCTACCCTACACTGGCCAAGAAGCGTGACCTTCTCCTACTGTAAGTCCTGGCCATGAAAGAAAACAGGAAAGAAGTAGATTGAGTTAGAACAATGGGCCAAATGGAAAAGGACTGGGAAGAGAGGCGCTAACATAACCTATTGGGACATACATGGAGCTGCCTTCAGGAAGAAGCTTTGTCTTGCTTTGTATATGTGACAACTGGTAGACCGCTTGGGAACCGTAATGCGGTAACGTACCCCTGATGGACTCTGTGCTGCAGTATGCTCTTGTTGATTCCGTTGCCGACGGAAGAAATCATGAATAGCATTGTAGTCATGAAGTGAAGGCAGCTCAGCTGCTGTTTGGTCACCATCATGATCCTGGGAGGTAGAAGGATCGTCCTGAACCACACTACCATGAATTAGTAGTTCAAAATCGTTTCTGAGTCAAAAAGAACTTTGAAAATCGGCATCAAATATTCAAAAAATACTAACTAGTAGAGCCGTAGAGTACATAGAGTACTGAAAGAGCTAAAGCTGCAGTTTTGCAGAAAAATGTCAGGACATACCTCTGGGTAGGGTTGTACCACATCACTATCGGATGAGCATTCGTTTGAGGTGTTGGGATTAAGCTCGAGGTCGCATTTCAAAGACTTGGTAGGGTTCTGAATGTCTGCTACTGTATCCGTTGAGCATTTCCTTTTTCGACTCTGAAACTAAGGTAACAAAGTTATGGGTCAAATTATCCCCCTGAAAACAAATCCTTAGGATTATGATGTTAAAACTGCAGTCGCAATCCGCAAGTTCACTTCTGTCATGATCCCCCAAACCTCCTATTCACATCTGGGTAAGATTCAAAAGGTTTAATGGAAGTGTTCCGGTTACATAGTTGTGAGCTGTGATGCTTAAGAAGAAAAAGGGGGATGTCAATTAGTATATTAGCGTCGGAGGAGGGAAAAGAACCCATTGCAATCTTGGAAGGCAAGTTCATCACGTAGCAGTTGGCACAGGGGATGCACGAGGAAGAGAGGAAAAACTAGTAGTTGGACGAGTTCTCACTTGCTGCTATCACATCAAACTTGGTTACAACATGTTTTAGCACATTGGCGATACCACTTTCGCTGTTGACATCTCTACATCTATTATCATATTTTATCACAACTTATCACAGGTTGCCCCCACTGAATGACGAGCATCACCCGCGGAGGTACTTCTTCTTGTGACTGCACTAGGTGGACATTTGCCTACTAGTAATGCTCATCGGAGGTTAGCAATCGGTGTGTCTCTTTCCGTGCCTTCGCTGTGCCTTCCTCCTCTTCTGACCGAGGCCGCGATAAGTGAGGTTTTATAGGAATTGGTGGAATTAGACGACCCCAAGGAAGAAAAGTAATAGTGCTTGAGTCATAGCTGTAAGCATGACTTACTTTAATATCACAGATACCACATAGTGGAAAAATATTCATCTAAAAATTACCTCTGAAGGTTTGGGTTCATTCGGAACTTGATTACTATCACGAGCTTGCATATAGCTGAAAATGACGGTATAACAAGAAATGAGTGATAAAAACGGTATTGAATCATAGCACGATATAGCTATTTCAACTCTACTAATAACGCGTGGTGGTGATGGTGCAGTGCGAAATGGCCCGTTACCAGACATGTGTTCCGGGGATCGGATCCCGGATCGATACCGGCTTGAGTAAACCGAACACCTTCCAAAACTTTGGGCAACCACGTTGTTTAGACTTCTTATGCTTACGCCGTTTCAGCCCAATGAGACTGGCTTTGGGCACATTTAACATCCAACACTCAGGAAAACGGCTAAGAGGAAAGGCTTTGAACTAGGAAACGGTGCAGAACTTTCTCGAGTTTCAGAATTTTTCAGGGCAATCTAGATTGGTATACCACTGCTAAGCAAGAATAAACAAAACGGGTTGAATAAGAGCGCTAATGCGAGATGTCCACCGGTACCATTCAAGGCTAGGCAGCCTCAAACACCTGGCCTGACCGATCGAGACTTTCTAAGAAGTGAAGGATCAACAGTGGATGAATGAAGACATGAATGCAGAGAATGAAGAAATGCCCAGTTCGATTGGGAACGTGGTGTTCGTGTATGTGAGCCTTGGTACCTCTCATACCCTCTCACGACAGTCTCTGGCCGTCGAGTACCCTCCATGTCTGCCGCGATCTCTGCCGTATACTTTTTGCTTCTAGCCCCTCTTTCGCCATGTTCGCACTGAGAGAACATGGGAAAGACAGAGGGTACAGGCTATCAAACATGACGAGAATGTACCGAAGTAGGGAGAGGGCGTAGAAAGCGCGAGTTGACAGAGACAGAGTGGAGTCGATACGAGTGTGGAGGCCATCGTTCTCTGCCACCATCAGTGCCTTCATGCTACGGTCAGTCCGTCCCCTTCCCTTCCCCTTATCACTGCGTTAAGACGGGGGGATTCGACGACTTGTGTGGCGCTAGTCGTCAACAGCGTTTTTTGGAAATCCGGCTGCGTTCTGAAAAACCCAAGCGCATCCACTTTTCACAAAGAGGGCGATCTGAGAAAAAGTATTCCGGCCAGGATTGCTATTTTTGTCTTATGGGTCCACAATTATTTTATCTCTTATTATGCCTTTTTCATCTCATTTTTTCACCATGTCGGTTCAGAAGCTCAGAAGACTTAGAATAACTGCCATGTCGACTTTAAGAAAACACGAATGTTGAGCCAGCCCGGCAAGCAGGGTTCTAGCTTGTTTTGGGATTCGCCAAGGAATTTCCTGGGATTTCCTCTGAGTTCCTCTTCATCCTCGAGTCCCATTAGCACCGACACTGAAACATTTCCGAGCTAGTCAAAGCCGTCTCCTTTTCTATGCAGGTGGGGAGGGATAGGAAGAGAAACAGTTTTTTTTCCGAGTAGTCATGGGATCGGAAGGGATCGGAATAGTAATTAATGCTGTCTCTGCTCCACTACATTCCCACGGTTCCCACGCTTAGAACGATACCTATGGGCACAACTAGGCCCATCAAGTAATGTTATTCGTTCTTAGCCATGATCAGGTTGTTGTTGTTATGATGTTTACAGGATTGAAAACTACTATGTTCAAGTAAAAAAACATATTTATTTATAGCAATAATCATGAAGATTCTGATGAGCGATGGAGTCATTGAAGTCCCGATACAAAAAGCAGCTCTGATACTGTAACAAAATCAGAAAGATGGTAACAACCTGCAAAATACATTGCCTCTAACCTATGAAACGTGCCCTAATATGTACTTATCCCTAATGGACAATTTTTACAGAATTCAGCTTTTCAGCAGACTGAAAGGAAACTACCTATAGCTGACCGGGTTCATATCTTGAAGTATTCAGTTTCGAATCGAGTCGAAAACTCCTGAAGATTTGCGTAACTTAGAATGGCATTTTTCAAATCCATACATGGCAGTTTAGTAGTGATGATTGTGAATAGATGCCCGAACAGAAGGGCATCCGCTTCCGTCGGTTGATTGCCAAACAGGAATGGTTTCGAGCCCAGTTGCGCGGATAACGCTCGCAGGGCTTTATCGTACTGCTCCAACACCTCATCCACTCCCTGAAAAAGGCCCTAATCACTATGGTAGCATAAGGTTTCTCTATTTGTCTAGTGCATTTCTAACCTTGTTTGAAAACCTGACAACATGTTTTGAACTAAAAAAGAACGAGTAATCAAAGCTGTACAGCTAGCTCCTAACCTTGTCAGCCCAGCCATTGTCTTGAAGTTTCGTTAAGATTTCTCTCCTTTTCAGTGCAGGTAGAATCCAATTTAAAGGCCACTTATAAACTGAACCGTAGCGATACCGTGTGAGCTGCTTATACGTATCATCGTGCTTCCAAGTAATGTACAACTAAAAGGTACTCGTTAATGTTCAAATTATTTACGCTTACAAGATTGGGACTGCGAGAGAGTCATAATCAGGAAGTAAACTTACTTCAACGTTGCGAAGCAAAACATCGATTAATGACATATGTGCACGCATTTCCGCAACTTGGGTGTCGCTCAAATGGGCACATAGTTTGATCCCCTGAAGGATACACGTTGAGGAAGAGTTCCAAAAGATATCAAAGAATTATGAAGCTTTTGATATTCGAACCTTCTTGGCAACGAAATCCACTATGCCACTGAATTCGGGTACCAACGTTCGTCGTACTTTCAGTAGAGGCACCTTTCCTAGAAAAACAGGTGCTCAAGGTTGCGCACTATCGGTTCCATCAATAATACGAAGCTGGGCACTGACCCGATGGAGAGATGAATTCGGCATTCGGTCGTTGTCTGACGGAGTAACTTAGTTGAGCTATTCTAAGAAAGGCCTGAGCTGCTAAGCATTCTGCATACTCGTACAGAAGCGCTTGGTCATCTGAATAATGAAAAGTTCTGACTTCCGAAACACTTGTCTATTACCCCAAAATACCAAATAGAAAAACACCCGCTCATGTTAGAATAAAAGCCCACCCTCATCACTAGCTTTGAAGCCTTCCCCGAAGTAACCATGTTTAGCTATCTCAAAAGCACTCACTGAGGAAAGGAGTGTAGAGATACACATCATCCCAATCCTGGGAAGCATCCAGTGCCAAAGAATTGGAGACTATCTCTGTCAATAATCCTGTCATCCAATCTGAGAAAAAATCATTTTCGATTCAAGCAAAAACTGTATAAAGTATGAAGCGGTATCGAGAAATATCGGTAAGTTGGCTTGAGCACCTCAAAATCTTCAACTCATTTAGATCACGACAGTGCAGTATTGTTTTATTAAACTGAGATAAAATTATAACAATCAACGACGAAGTCAACAATGTATCACATAACAAAGAACAACAACGACAACATAATGTCAAGCAACAAAATCCTTCTTTTCTTTTCTCCAAGGCTTATTATTCTTGGCTTTCAGTTTCTCCTTGATTACATGATATCTGGATTTCTTCCTATATGCGAAGCCGCTCACCTTTGGCTTCTTGTCTGAACACGGATTAAACTAATCTTCTAAAATGCATCCAGCAAAGAATTTAATCTTTAGGCTTCCACCGATCTAGAAACCGTTAGCAAATACCAACCTGATGCAACAGCTTTATTGGCTTCCAGCTTTTTCTTGAGATACCCAAGTGCCTTTTGATAACGACTAAGGTGATTTTCAAGCATACTCCGTTCTATAGCTTCCTCTTCCGCATTTACCCATAGCCCATTTTTTCGAAGCACATTCTTTACAAAAATCTTTCGCTGAAACAAACACTTCTGAAGTGCGAGACCTGTAGTACTGTTTCTGATAAAACCAACGATTCGAGGAGGGAAGCTTACCGCCTCTCCTTCGCCCAAGCTCAAAACATGACCAGGCCGCCCAGCTCTTCCAGTTCTTCCAGCACGATGAACAAATAAGCGGTCGTTTTTTGGAAGTTCGTAATTCACAACACAATCAATACCTTCGACATCGACTCCTCTGGATAGAACGTCCGAACAAATCAATACCCGCGTCTAAAATGAATAAATAACTTGCAAATTCCAAACTATCGCTACAGTTGATTGGATTACCGTGCCAGTTTTGAAGCGCCTCAAAACTTTCGTTCTACGGTTGCCGAATAGATCACTAGTGAGCTGCTCAACTTTGAATGCAGACCGTGCAAGGCGCGAAATCAGTATAGACAGTCGCTGAGATGACTCCCTGAATATCAGCCGGATCCAGTCAGGTTTCACTGTTCATTTTCTTCATAATAAGCAATTTTAGAAATTCTGGTTCTCGGATGAAACAGTCAACAAAATAGAAATATTTATATGTAATAACTTTACCGAAATCACTCCAAACCTCTCATTCGTGAATACGAGTACTTTCTGCCAATCATGTTCCACAATCTTCAAATAGAGGAC